TTTTTTTTTTTTTTTTTTTTTTTTTTTTTTTGGCAAAATAAAGTAAGGGGAATTTCCACTCATACGGTCCTCTGCTTTCAACGAATAAAAAATGTTGTGGAGGCAATTTTTGGCAGCCTTGATCTCGTGTCGTTTTTAATTTTATTTTTGTGCGTGTATGTCTTGTGTACAGCACTGTTTTACCTTGCTTCATATTTTGGAGTTGTTTTTTGGTTTTTTATTGTTTTGTTGCCATTTCAACGTTTTATCCAACTTTTTATGATTTGTTGGCGGTTTTCTGTGCTTTTTTAAAAGACCTTGACGGTTGAGTTTTTTAACAGTGGGAAGACAAATCTCAGCTTATCGTTCTCAGTTGTCTTATTTTGGTGTACCTTATCTTTTTTTTCTTAACTGGACTGAGAGGAGGCCTAGATTTGTTTAGTATAAGCCTTGTTTCTTAAAAAATTTGCTGCTTTGGGAGACTGGAAGATTGGAGTTTGAATAATTCTGTGTCACTTGAGAGGTGGTAAATTTTTCGTATAACGTTCTTCGGATTTACTTGTATTGTGAATTTGGTAATAAAGTAGTTGTCTTTTCTGTCTTTTTCTTATTGCTCGCGAGGAACTCGTGTTAAGGGTCTGCTAGGTGCTTGGGAAGATGATGGTGGACGGGGTTTTGTGGAGGTGTTTGTAAAAGGTATTTTACAGCAGGTACTGTTTTCTTTTTTTGTGACAGGTGAACATGTGGCTTCCCAAAGGGCATGATTATGCGTGTTCGATGCTGGCTCACAAGTTGGTCAAGTAATGTTGGACGGTCCATTCATTTCTATAATGCATTTCATGCGGCATGGCCTCTCTCATATTGTGGGAGAGGTTAGCTGACAACACTGGAAACGTTTTTAATGGAAATAACTTTGTCCCAGTCACGTCAGGTCATTAAATCAATTTATTTAGCCGAATATGTGAGGGTAGAGTTTTATAAAGATACAACAAAGGAACCTCAACAGACAGGTTCATGGCTTGCCCGTTGTGACTCCTTATTTCTTCTAGAGGGGAATGGACAGTAGTTTTTCTTTTTGCATGAATTTAACCTTTCTCTGTAGTGTACTGCTTCGATCTGCTGAAAACTTTCTTAGTTGAGGACCAGGAGTTGGTTGGAATGTTAGAGGGTTTCAAGACATTATATCCAGTAATTTCATTGCCAGTTCCGGACTTGTTTTTCTTAAAGTTTTCCATCCTTCAGAGTGGAGGACAGGACTCTTATTTCTCGAAAGGAAATCCCCACAATCCTAAAACGTGGCATTTTTCAATTCCGCAGTTATCCGAATATTGTAATCTTATGCATTCTTAAATGAGGACTTGACTTTTTTAATGTAAATCAATTATTTACCGCCATCAACGAGGACAACGAATATGAGTCTGCAAGTTGAGCGACTGTGGTGAGATTGGATATATTAATGGTGGTACTAATGCGACTTATGCAAAAAGATTTTAGTGGTTTAATATCATATTTCGCTGCAATTTGAAGTACTTCTACAACACGGTCAGTAATATTTGTTGTTAATCCTCCGTAAATAAATTCAAGCATTGCCATAACCTGTAACTTTAAATTACAGTTAAACTGATCACCGGGAAACATACTGTTGTATATATATTTGCAATAAAGCCTGGTTATAAAATACTAATTCAAAGTTTTAAAAATCAAGAATCGATTGTTTGAATGCCGACCGCGACTTTACTGGTGTCATTGTATATCCCTTTTCAAAGTTCTTTTCAATTTTTTTAACACTTTCAATACAACCACTTACTGCTTCATAACTGAAGTCGGTTATTTCAATAGTTCTATCTTCCGACTCTAGCATTTTTTTCCCATTGAACATTTCACGAAAGACTGCGCTATGCTGAACCAAAAAACACCGATGCGCTTTGATTTCACGATCGTCAACCTCAAGCCATTTACATATTTATTCCCAATTCAAAGTTTTTGTGAAGTGTCGTTGAATAGTTCGAATATATTTAGCGAAAATAGTGGAATAAATAAAATGAAGGCTTTTAAAAAGAGGCTGAAAAGCGAAACCCTGAAGACGCAATCGCTAAAACTTCCAGAATTCAATATTTCTAAATTCTCTGAGCATATTAATGCTGAGCTCCTGGGAACCGAAGGTATTGCTTTACATTCGTTCTTTATACAGTTGTCTGTCCAATAATCAATCTCGCAAAATACAGTAAAATATTTTAGAGCCATAAACTTGCCGAGGTCCGCCTGAAAGTAGCCATGTTTATATATTTTGATATCCAGACACTTCTTGTTCAAGTGTAATAATGCTGCATACGTTAATAAACTTAATATATACTTAATAGTTAACTTACTGCATCTGACCTCCAAATTCGTGTTGTCAAAGTAGTTCTAACGTTTACGACATCGACTTTTGCATCTCTGCGTCCGTCGCTGTTGTAACTCTCGACATATATGTGGCAAAAAGCTGGAACCTGCAAAGAAACGGTAAAAAGTGGCAAACTGGACGAAAGGATCTTCAGTCTTTGAATTATTCTTAAACAACGCGAGGTGCCCTTTTACAAGTTTTTCCTAACTGTATTTGATATTACTGGACACTTTCAAAACAGTTCTTCAGATGTGCTCTACGAATGAGATAGAGACTCGCTCCCTTCTCGCTGATAACTTTAGATTTCTTAGTAATTTATAAAACTGGCAGTACATCGAGCAAACAATTGTTGATTTTAACTTTGGTTTTTCATCTTGTTTTTTTTCGCCCCAAACGAGGAATCCACCTGATACTTATACAAACTGGTCAAAAAAGCTCCAGGCTTCAAAGTGTTCTACTTTCGTATCAAAACGCTTTTGAATCGTAAGGTTCGTCTTTCTTCAACGTGGCATAAAAGTTGTTGAGTAGCGCTAAAGAAGCAAACTTTCCCAGCAGGAACTGTGCAAGCAAAGAAAGAGTTTTGTTTTCACGCTGTAATGAGAGCTTTTTTCTATTACAGAATTTCTTGCGCTATTAAATCGTAAACTGCCCAGTTCTGGAGTTGCCTTGCATTAATTATTAGGTTTAAATACAGAGTTTCTGGCTTGGTCAAACACATCACAGCCACTAGTGATTACCAATGAAGGAGCTTCAAGAACGGTATTTAAGATTATCTCCAAAAATGTCAAAAAAACAAGTTAAACTAGTGAGAAACCTGCTGTATCCAAAGTGCTAGGATCCGGAACTTTTTGTGTTATTATTGATTTTCTCAACACGATACAGCAAATACGGAGTTTGTAAAAATTTTTTTGTTGACTAAGCAAGTTAAATTAATCACTTATAACATTTTTATCTGGATTTAAAAGTAAAGTTTGTTACACAGTCTTTTCTCAAAAAGTAATTCACTAACCCCTTTTTGTTGTGAACAGTAATTTCCCGCAACGGATACACCAAAGGAACATTTATTGGAAGCAGTGGCTCCGCCAACATATAAATATAGAAAAAACATAGTCCGGTCATCTATGAAATCGGCTACCAGTGCAGTTTCGTCACATTTTACACGCGCTATTTTAAAATAAATCTGCAAAAACTTTTCTCATGCGCGTTTTATATAAAGCGCAAAAAATGAAT